GCGCGAGCAGAGGCACACCTGCCCGCTCCTGCTTGTCGTGCCCGCGGCCGCCCAGGTGCACGCACAGCCGGGTCTCGCGCACGGAGGGCGTCCTCCGCCCTGAGGACTCTGCAGGCCCCTCTCCAAGTCAGCCTGGGAAGCCGGGGGGTGCCACGTAGCGACGAAAGCTCTGCGGCTCCTGACCTGCCCTTTTCTCCTGTTTTGAAAAGTTGCTAGTGGTTTATTTAAGAGAAACAGGAAGGAAAAAATGCTCCCTGAAAGCCAGGGAAATGCTTCCCTTCAGCTTCTCACAGCTGATCTTCACCTTAAAAGGCAACATGTGCTTGGCCTCTGGGTGCAGCGCCCAGAGCGGCCAGTGCCAGGCAGGGGCTATGGCGTCCTGGGGCCGGGCCTGGGCGGGCGGAGGCTGGAGCGCCGGGGTGGACTCCAGACACACACACACACGCACACACGGACACGGACACTTCAGGGGTCCCCACAGCTGAGCGGGGCTGCTCCCAGGAAACGAGTGAGGACGTGAGCCCTTGGGGGCCAGGCAGCCTTCCCCAGGGTGCACAACGGGGGACCCAGGGTGCATTAGGGTGCCCAGGGCTCCCCTAGGAATGGGTGGTGGGCACTGAGTCCCGCCCCTGCCCTTTTCCTAACCCTGAGTCTGTGCTGCTGAGTCATGAGCCACCATCAGAAAGCCTGCACTAGCCTGGAAGGTCCCCGTGTCTAGAGCCCGAGGCACAAGGAATCAGCCTGCAGGATGAACTCCAACCCCGAGCCAGTCTCTGCTCTGGTCACCTCAAGTGTCTATCCGCCAGGCAGCTTCTTGGCTGTGAGCCCCACCCAGGCTCCCTCACCTGCACCCTAAGAATGCACCTGCCCGTGCCTCGCCCCTGTGCACACCGGGCCTGGCGATGGCCACTGTGGGGCCAGTCGCTCATGCTGAGCCTCGGTGTCCAGGTTGGGAGGGCTCCATGATCACACAGGCAGGGAAAGAGCAAGTGGGGGCCTGGGCTGTGCAGCCGCTGCCCACCCGGCTCCCCGCTCTGCCACTCAGGAGCCTGTCGCTCGGTGACTCAGGGACACACACCAGTGTCGGCCGCCGGTGGCCTTCACATGAGCAACCCAGGGCACGGCGGCATCGTGGAGCCCCTACAGAGACCTGCGTGGGGGCGCTCACTGCCTTGCTAAGGGCATAGTGTCCTTGTGCCAGCAGGCCCACTTCTGGGGGCCTGGAGCCCCTAGGCTGAGGATGTGCTCCGTCTCTGGTTCTGAGGGACCGTGTGGTCAGAAGGCCTCAGCCTCCCCATTCTTCTCGCCCCTGCAGTCGGTCCTGCCCTCCGACAACCAGTGGTGCGTGCCAGGCCCCCAGCCCAGCTTCCCCACACTGGCCCCACTGGCCTGGGCCCCTGGACCTTGGTGCAACTGGGGAAAACCCTTCTGTCAGGCCAGCTGGCCGGGCCTCTCTGGACCCTGGTCATTGACTCTTCCTTCACAGCCCACCAGGTATTTGGTAGACGGTGGGCACTGGCCAGAAGCGGGTGGGACTGAGGGATGAGCTGACTGGGGTTTGTCTGGGGACGGGCAGGGCCCTGGGCCGGGAAGAGCCTGTGCAGGAGCCCAGACACACCCGAGCACCTCTGACCCCGCGCCTGCCCCTCCCACGGCCGGCAGGCTCCTCGTCGAGATGCCTGGCCCCATGGGCACCTCTGTGCCTCTGAGCAGCAGCCAATCTGAGACTTCAGGAGATTCCCGGTGGCCTCTGAAGGGAAGAGGCTGTTGCATGACACTGCGCCCACAGGTACTGGGCTCCAACACAGGCCCTGGCTAGCCCAGGCCCACGGGCACCCTCTCCAGCTGGGGCCCTCAGGTCCAGCAAAAGGGAAGGCCATTCCCTGGCATGGAGGGACTGTGGGCTGACTGGGCTGTGAGCAGGACAGGTCTCACTGACGGGACCAGAGGGTGGACGCCAGGCCCCAGCCCCCCACGGGGCCCACCATGGCCAGGCCCACAGAGGACCCTGGGTGGCCTGAACTGCCACGTCTAACTGGGGGCTCTGAGGTGGGTCCCAAGTGGCCAACACCGAGTGTTTGGCGAGGCAGGCTCAGCAGGAAACACCGTCCAGTGGTCTCCTCGGTGGATGCCCACCCAGCCTCACCTATCCCCCACCCCTCCCTTGACGCCTTTACCGCAGCGGGGTGGGGTTCCCACGCCCCAGGCACGGATCCAGCTGGGTCTCTCTGCCAACATGTTTGGTCTGGGACATTCCTGTCTCCAAGACCCCATCCAGCACCTTCTACCCAGTGTCACGGGGAAGGCCCTGTACCACTCCACGTGACATCAGCACAGACGCACGTGCACGCACTTGCACACACGCACACGTGTGTGTGCCATCCTGCCAAATGAGCCAACCTGAGTGGGGAGGAGGACGCTGACTGACAGGCTGCGGGGCTGCGGAGCTGCATCAGCTCCAGGCCGAGTCCAGCCCAAGGAACAGAGACCGCTCCTGCCCGTACCAGGCAGGAGAGCAGGGCGCCCTGAGCGCCTGACGCTGATGCCAGGAGCTCAGCTCACCTCTGTCAAAACACAGCTCAGCTTGGGGGGAGGATACAGCTCAAGTGATAGAATGTGTGCTTAGCATGCATGAGGTCCTGGGTGCCAAGTCCCAGTACCTCCTCTAAAAAAAAAAATCAATAAACCTAGTTATCTCCCCCCGCCAAAATAAAAAAAAATCAATAATATATAAATAAAATAATTTTTAAAAAAAGAAAAAACACAACTCAGCTGGCTCTGCCCGCAGCCCCCAGGGCGGCCACCCCCACAGCGGCTAAGAGGATGCCCTGGCTAGCACCAAGAGGAGCCATGAGCAGCTTCTGGGTTTTAAAAACAGGATGAATCTTCAAGGCCTCATTAGTGCTGGGCGAGGGGCTGGGGGTCCCTAGGCACAGAGCCATGGGGGCGGCTGGCGAGGTGACACTGGGTCGGGTGTGAGAAGCGGGGCAGAGGGCGGCTCCTTCCCTCCTCCGCTCCAGCCTGCAGCTGCCCGCGGTGCTCCTGGGAGGCTGGCACAAGTGCCAGGATGGAGGAGGTTCTCACCAGGAGGGATGCTGGGCAGCCGTGGGAGGGGCACCTGTGAGAAGTCAAGGGCAGCATGGAGACCCTGACAGAGGGTGAGCAAGGCAGGGGGTCAGAGATAAAAGTCAGGTGCTGGGCAGACCCCAGAGGAAGCCCCCCGGGACACACGGCGGCGCTGTGGGAGGCCTGAGCAAGGAGGAGCCCACGGAGAGGGACGCCCACCTGCCCAAGCCCCTGCCACACGTCTCCCTCCAGGCGAACTCAGCCCCTGGGCCCAGCCTGAGAGACCAGCTCTGGACGCCATGCCAGGCAAAGCAAGGGCATCTGGGCCATCTGCCCAGGACCCACCTGTTCGCCAGTCGGGTGGCTCGGCCTAGTCATCGCCGATTGGGCTGAGCAGCCCGCACCCCAGGCACAGGCGTGCCCACCGCCAGGGCCAGCCACCAAGGCAGCCTAGGCACAGCGGGCCCCCAAGGCTCCTCAAACATCTCTCCCCGCGGGGCTGGGGAAAGCCCCGAGTCCCGGTGCAGCAGGGCTGGGTGGGGGCCGAACACTGCACGCTGTCACTGGGAGACCCCACCCCTGGACCATGTTCTCACTGGTCTTCATCAGTCCTGGCGACTAGCCCCTTCCTGGAGCAGAGACTTGGAGGCCGAGGGTGGGGAAGACCCCTGGGCACTGCAGGAAAGCACAGGGCTGCTTCCTCCCTGGTTTAACAGCCTGGTGGTCAACACCCCAAACAAAGCAGTTTCACAAGCCCTGTGTCCCCAGCAACGTAAGAGACTGGCTGAGAGGGGAGTAGGCAAGGCAGAGTGAGGGCTGCGGACACCCCGGACCGCCGCCACGCACGCTGGGCACCACGGGGCACCGCTCCAGCCAGAGCTGCAGCCACAACGGGCCACTGGGCTCAGCATGGGTCCTACTCTGATGACTCTGCCTGTGAGATGAGATGCTCTCCTCCTAACACCTGCCTGAACCTCCACGTCCACCATGAAGCCTTTCTGGACCCCCCGTGGGATGACTGGGCTGCCCCCTCCTGGGGAGCCCAGCTGGGACATCTGCAATCATGCTGGCCTCGGGGGGTCCTGCCCTCTGTCTTCTGCGGGGCCCTCCCACCATGCACGAGCGCACAGGGACCCCCCTGCAGCCCTGGCACGCTGTCGGGGACACCACTGTTCCTGTCCTGAACCAACAACCTGGAGGACAGTGAGGCCAGCAGCCCCTGTTTCCAAGCCCCACTCCTGACATCACAGAAGGAGAGCGCTGGGGCCTCCACCTGTGACTCCCCAGGAGCCCCAAGTGGCAGGAGAATGTGCTGGTGGGAGAGGAGGGTGAAACCAAAGGTACCCAGAGACACAGCTCGGAGAGCCCACCACTGTCTCCCCCGAGGCCCACCAGCTGTCACACTTGGCCCTCACCTCAGACACTCACCAAGAAGCCCGCTCAGCTTGGTGACAATCAGAGAATCAGAAAAGTAAGACGGGCTTTCACTTTAAAATTAAGACTCACCCAAATTACAGGCAAATACAACATTCCCGTCCTGAAGGAAACCTGATTTCAGCCTATGCTGTGACACCCCATGTGTGAGGACCCCAGCGCTCCTGACACCCCAGTGAGCATGTCCAGGGCCCCGTCCCTCATGGTGGGGCCAAGCTGTGCCCCCGCCCCCAGGAGTCCCGCAGCACAAGACAGATCTACCGTCCCTCAGGGTCCCGACGGCCCGCGCCCGGACCCCACGCTCTCCGGAATGCTTGACACAGACGCCTGTACCCTGAGACAGAAGAGGCGCTGGAGTTTCTTCAACCCCTCCTGTGTGGGGCACGGGGAGATCCGCTGCGGCAGGTCAGGGAAAGGGAGACAACGGGCAGAACCTGCTTTTCTGGTTACACCCCCGACGGCGGTCATGGCCCAGGGCAGGTCTCTGGACAAGGCCACTTGTGGACACACTGGTCACCCCGCCCGGAGACAACCGGCTAGACACCTGCCAGTGGCGAAGGGTCTGTCCAGGGGGTTGGGGGCGGGGACAAGGCAAGTCTGCTGTGGTCCAAGACACGGCTCGGCAGAAAGACGGACACAGGTCACGGGGGCCCCCTGTTCTTAAGGGCCGAACACCCCCCTTCAGAGCTCCCTCTCCTACGAACAGCAGGAAGTGCAGGAATACAGGGAGAACCTCACTCCAAAAAAGCTCCTGACCAAATCCAGCGGGTTGCCGGGCCGTCTGCAGGCGGGGCTGTGTCCGCCCTGGGCCCATCAGTCCCTCGGGCCCACCAGGGGCGACTGCAGCATGTGACCTAGGAGGGCTCCTCCGCAGACTGAGCCCTGGGGCAGGGACGGGGACAGTCAGCACCCCACCACCCCCACCACATTCACCTGAGCACTTTGCCGACTGCCTGAAGCACCATTTTGCAGCTGAGTCCGGCTTTGGGGGCCTGGCTGAGCAGAGCTCGATCTGCGGGGAGGCCGCTGTGATCTCCCAGCATGATGGGGCAGCGCGGAAGTGGGCTGGGAAAGTGGGAGCCACAGCCCCAGCAGCCGCTCCCTCCCTCCCTGCGCAGCCCTGACACGGAGCCAGCCACCGCCGGCCAATGAGGGCAGGCAGGGGGAGAAAGGAGGGCTCTCTGGGGGCCAAGCAAACAGCTGCTCCTTTTACAGCTGAGGGCCAGCCAAATCTGGTTCAAGGAGGGAGCTTCTCGATTGCCTTTTCAAAGTGGCACCGCGCGGGTGCCGTGTGGGGCAAGGCCACAGCCGTAGGGACGGACACAGCCCACAGAGGGGACCCATTGGCGAGGCCCCAGGGTGGAACTGCGGGAGTCCTTTGAGGGGGCCGGGGAGGTCCTCTAAGAGCTGGTGAGATGAGAGAGGACCAGGCAGGGCAGCCAGGCTGCAGGGAGACTGTCCGTGTACCATGGAGCGGGGACGCAGACCTGCGGCAGGTCTCCATTCAGACTGCCCTGGAGAGACAAGGCTGGCTGGCTCCCAGGCGTCCCGGGCAGGTGCCCAGCCAGCACCAGGCAGAGGCTGTTCCTGTCACCACCACGAGCAGCATCCCCTTCTCACCACACTGGATGCAGGATGACCCTGGGCGCATGGCGGGGACCCGGGTACATGCTGACTTCTCAAATGAGTCAGTTTTACCAACTGTGACGTCATGTCGTCGTCATCTTCCTTCTGTGCCCCGAACTTGCAAGTCCAGATGGTGTCTGGTGAGGAGCCTCCGGGGGGTGGGGACACTCTCCCTCTGCACAGCTGTCCATCCTGCAGCAGAGGAGGAGGGCCACCACCAGCCTCACCCCTGCGTGCGGACTTCGCCCACCCAGGTTTGCCCACTTTCCTCACACTTCTGTCAAACTGACACAAGAAGCAACAGGGGTTTCCAAACAGTGGACGAGTTCTGACGTATGGGCAGAGATGAGGCCCAACAGACACGGGTTCCTGGCGGGGAGGCAGCACTGCCAGTTGTCACACAGCTTGAAATGTTTCCCTCAGTGACACACCCAGGTCCAAAGAGAGCGCAGAGAGGCCACCTGGAGGACAGACGCATCAAGCCTGAAAGCACACCCGGGGGCACAGCTGGACGCCCTGCACTGGAGGCCCCCGTACGTGGCTGGTGTCAGAACACCTCTCTCCTCGCCCCCTCGGTCTCCCCTTTACATCTGTGACTTCCAGCGAAGGACACAGACACGGGTGCTCACGTCCAGCCAGGCACCCTGCCTGCTGCCTGAGCCTCCAGGAAGCCAGCCCCAGACAAGCAAATGCCCCTGGAACACCTGCTCCAAAGCAGTAGGAACCAACACGCAAGTCCTCGTGCACGAACGTGCAAGCCGCCAAGAGCACAGTCCAGGGAAGGTGACGACAGGTGTCGGCAGTAGTAGTGGTGCTTACACCTCAAAAGACGCCAACAAGAAAATGAAAAGACTGGAAGAGCTCTGCAAGCCATATACCGATACAGGACTTCTGCCCACAACAGAGAAGATACTCTGTAAGGTATCTCCCATAAGACTACCAGCTGATTTCTCAGCAGACACTCTGCAGGCCAGAAGGGAGGGGCACCCAAAGGGAAGAAAGGGAAAAACCTACAACCAAGAATACTCCACCCAGCAGGGCCCTCGTTCAGACCTGACGGAGAAAACAGAAGCATCACAGACGAGCAAAAGCTAAGAGCTCAGCACCACCAAACCAGCTTTACAGCTGACACTAAAGGACCTCCTCTAGAGGAGAAGAAAAGGCCACGACTAGCAACAGGAAAACTACACAACGGGGAAAGGCTCACGGGGAAGGGCAAATACACAATAAAGGCAGGAGACCATCCACACGCAAGGCCGGTGAGGAGGTGAACGACCAACATGGTGAAGTCATCTCTATCGGTACAGCTAAGTGACATTCGAAACAATCAGATGTAAAATGTGGTATCAAACGCTAAAATGCATTTGAAATCAAGAGATCAGCAATTTAAACAAGCACACATGTATACAGACTGCTACACCAAAACCTCGTGGTGACAACAAGACAGATCTATCATAGATACACACACAAAAAAGGAGAGGAATCCAAACATAACACTAAAGACAGTCATCAAATCACAAGAGAAAAGAACAAAAAAAAGAAAGAGGGGGGAAAAGACCTACAAAAACAAGTCCAAAACAATTAACAAAACAATCGTAGGAACATACATATTGATCACTACCTTAAATGGAAAGGGACTAAATGCTCCAACCAAAAGACACAGACAGACTGGCTGCATGGATGCAAAAACCAGACCCATATGTACACTGCCTGCAAGAGACTCACTTCAGATCTAGAGACTGAAAGTGAGGGGATGGAAAAAGGTATTCTATGTAAATGGAAATCAAAAGAAAACGGGGGTAAGAAGACATATCAGACAAAACAGGTTATAAAACAAAGACCGTTACAAGAGACAAAGAACGCTACATAATGACCAAAGAAACACTCCAAGAAGACGACGTAGCTATTGTAAATGCGTATGTACCCAACATACGAACACCTCGATCTAGAAAGCAGATGTTAACAGACATAAAGGGAGAAGTTGACAGTAACAGAGTAGTGGGGGACTTTACCATCCTACTTACATCAATGGACAGATCACCCAGACAGAAAACCAATAAGGAAACACAGACCTTAAGTGACAAATTAGACCAGATGGACTTAATTGATACTTATAGAGCATTCCATCCAAAAGCAGCAGAACACACGTTCTTCTCAAGTGCACATGGAACATTCTCCAGAACAGATCACATGCTGAGCCACAAAACATGCATGCCTCAGTAAATTTAAGAAAACTAAAATCACATCAACTATCCAACCACAGTGCTTTGAGGCTAGAAATCAACTACCAGAAAAAAAACGGCAAAAACACAAACACGTGGAGGCTAAACAACATGCTGTGACTTCAAAAAAGAAATAAAAACACCTGGAGACAAATGAAAATGGAAACACGACGATCCGAAACCTCTGGGACGCAGCAAAAGCAGCTTAAAAGGGAATTTACAGCAACACAAGCCTACCTCAGGACACAAGCACAAGCTAACACACAACCTAAACTTACACTTACAGCTACTAGAGAAAGAAGAACAAACAAAACCGAAAGTGAATAAAAGGAAAGAAATTATGAAGATCAGAGCAGAAATAAATGAAATAGAGACTAAAACACTAAAGAAAAGAGCAATGAAACAAAAAACCAGCTTTCTGAAAAGATAAAATCGATAAATCTTTAGCCAGATTAATGAAGAATAAAAGGGACATGGCCCAAATCAATAAAATCAGAAACAAAAAAAAGTTACAACTGATATCACAGAAATACAAAGGACCATAAGAGACTATTCCGAGCAAAATGGACAATGTAGAAGACATGGAAGATTTCTTAGACAGGTACAATCTCCCAAGGCCGAACAGGAGAAACAGACACTAGAACAGACCAAGTGCCAGCACTGAAACTGAATCAGGAATTTAAAACTCCCAACGAACCAAAGTCCAGACGGTTTCACAGGCAAATTCTACCAAAAATTTAGAGAAGAGTTAACAACCATCCTTCTGAAACTATTCCAAAAAGCTGCAGAAGGAACATTTCCAAACTCATTCTATGAAGCCACCATCACACTGATACCAAAACAAGACAAAGAGATCACACAAACAAGAAAACTATAGGCCAGTACCACTGATGAACATGGATGCAAACATCCTCAACAAAAAACTAGCAAACTGACTCCAACAACGTATTAAAAGGACCATACACCATGATCGAGTGGGATTTATTCCAGGGGTGCAGGGATTTTTCAATATCTGCATTACAAACACATTAACAAATTGAAGAATAAAAACCATATGATCATCTCAATAGATGCAGAAAAAGCTTCTGATAAAATTCAACATCCATTTATGATTAAGAAAAAAAAAAACTCTCCAGAAAGTGGACACAGAGGAAACGTAACTCCACATAATACAGGCCATATATGGCAAACCCACAGGTAACATTACACACTCAATGAGGAAAAGCTGAAAGCATTTCCTCTACGACCAGGAACAAGACAAGGATGCTCACTCTTGCCACGTTAATCCAACATAGTTTTGGAAATCCTAGCCATAGCAATCAAAGAAGAAAAAGAATAAAAGGAATCCAAATCAGAAAAGAACAAGTAAAATTGTCACTGTTTGCAGATGACATGGTATTATACATAGAAAACCCTAAAGGAGCAACCAGAAAACTACTAAAGCTCATCAGTGAATTCAGAAAATTGCTGGATACAAAATTAATATACAGAAGTCTGTTACATTTCTATACACTAACAACAAACTGTAAGAAAGAGAAATTAAGGAAACAATCCCATTTACCATCCCATCAAAAAAAAAAGAATAGAATTTTTAAGAAACAAAAAATAAAATACCTAGGAATCAACCCTACCTAAGGAGGCAAAAGACCTGTACTCCGAAAACTCTTAAGACACTGATGAAAGAAACTGAAGATGACACAGAGAGAAAGATACACTGTATTCTTGGATTGGAAGAATCAATATTGCTAAACTTACCATACAACCCAAGGCAATCTACAGAGTCAATGCAATCCCTATCAAACTACCAACGACAGTTTTCACAGAACTGGAACAAAAAATGGGAGACTGACCTAGGAAAACATTGCTATTAGTATGGAAACACAAAAAAAGACTCCAAATAGCCAAAACAATCTTGAGACAGAAGAACAGAGCTGGAGGAATCATGCTCTCTCACTTCAGACTACACTATAAAGCTACAGCAATCAAAACAGTATGGCACCTGCACAAAAACAGACACACCGATCAATGGAACAGGACAGAAAGCCCAGAAATAAACCCACCCACTTGTGATTAATTCATCTACAAGAAAGGAGGCAAGAATATACAATGGAGAAAAGATATTCCCTTCGGCAAGCGTTGTTGAGCCACATGTAAATCAATGAAGTAGAACACTCTCTCACATCACACACAAAAATGAACTCAAAAAGGTTTAAAGACTTAAATATAAGACAGGATA